AAAGTAAAATGGACCAATAAGATACGAGAGCTTATAAAATGCGCCAATAACACGAAATGTAGTTCAGAATGTTCTAACAATATATGGAATTAACATAGGACTACCACATGTGACGCGCTGGAATGTCGTAAATGAAATGTTACATTCATGCATTTCTGCGATCCTGATAGTAAGATAGTTGAATTGAAGTTTTCGCAAGCTCCAGATTGACAACCCAATTTGACACGACGTGTAATGTAAAAAAGAACTCTTTGTGTTTCTGTTTTTTGTATAACGAAATGTAAATACCTTAGACAAACTGTAAAGTCATCATATTACAAAAAGGGTAGCAGTCAATAATGGTTATATTTACAGAACTCTGTTATCAGACCTTTTCGAATTGATGTGAGATGGCGCCATGCACGACAAATGGAAGTATACGATTAGTGATAAAAGATTTTGAACATTTAATATATTTATAATAATTTTACACTCAGCTTATTTAATATTCCCGTATTAGAGGAGCATGAAGTGGTGAAAGTTATACCCAACTTGCATGGAAACACTCATTCACGGACTAGTACACTAAGCAATTAGATATTTTCTGTTTTCTGGTGCCCTGTTATCAAATTCGTCATTACAATGCAAAACGGTGCTGTAATTTTGCAGATTGTTGTTTTGTGCCTACTACGATTACAGACTGATACAGTTGATGTGCAATAAATATGTAATTGCAATGTTGAAAATTTGGTTTTTCGTAGAGACACCACCTGATTTTGTCAAATTTGTATAATTCATTATTCCAAATTTTAGGAAATATCGGTTATTTTTTATTTGGCTTAAGACATCTTTTGGATTAGCAGGTGTTAAAAATTGAGTATTTTCAAAATCATGATCAAAAAACATGTCCCATATTACAATACAATAATTGTTGGCAACCACTTTTGGACTTACTTTAGGTATAGGTCACAAAGATCAAAAGCTTTACTAAAAAGAAACTACTCGAGTCGGCATTAAACTTAAACATTCAATATTCAATGATACCATCAACAATTTTCATTTTTATAAAATCTGAAAGACCCTATTTCAGATGAATACTTCTTTATTATACCAACGGAAAATACCACAGTTCGTTTCAGCTACATGCTACGAGGGATTAAAGTTTAGTGTTTTTGTGATCAGTTTAATTCGGCTTATTTACTATCAGGTGATTAGAGGAGCAGAATGTGCAAAGGTGGCTAAACTCCCAATGCGTCGTCGGCTTTAAAATTAGTATAAATAAACGTCAGCATGTGTGTTTACTCTCTTTCACTTTCTGAACTCCTGCTATAAATTTAGACATTACGATGCAAAACTGTTCTAAATCCATGCATTTAGGCTTGATTTTGACTTACGTTTGGGAAACAATATTCCTTATTCGTTTGACTCGGCCGCATCTTCCCACTTTGCGAAGTTCATATTATGAGATCTTGGGCTACTTGCGTAAGGTATATTGGTGTCTGCACTCTCCCAACATTTTACACGATTTTTCAATTTTTGGGGAATTAAAACAATGTTTTGCACTTTGGTAGATTACCCACCTAAATTTGACATGTTAATATAAATTCGGAAGTAAATGCTCAAAAATACTATTTTCCAGATTAATTTTTTTGCACCTCGAACCTCTCTGTTCCAGACGAGAAACCAGGTGCCAAATCTTGACAGAACAGTTTCCTAGCTCAACCCAAATAAAGTGAGTAAATTGTTCCTGTGATGTATACCTATCGAGACCTCTCAAACCAAATATTAAAAAAAAAACTCTTTTGCTAGTCTTACATCCTTTATGCCAAAAGTCATACCTATTAATTTGCAGATATTTTTATGGACCGTTTTATTATTAGACACTATTCAAATTCCCAAAGGAAAATTGTTGTTGACCCCTTACAGAGTTACAGAATCAACTCAATGTAATGATATCTCAAACAACGTTGTTAATTACGGTCAATTTTTGATTGGTACATAAGTAATTGAAAATTGGTTTGTTTTGGATTTCTTCTTTTGTTTTGTGCACCTTTTTCTTAACACGGTAGTCACACATTTTCCCTTTGCGATCTTGACGCACTTTCCACCAAGCATGCGAAAATTCTTTAACGATATTTTAAAAGAGTACCCAAAACCCCTTAAATTCTCAGAGCATTTGCATCCTTCCCGTGTGCGATTTTTTAAAAAAAGATCCTGCATTTGTTTCCCTTAGAACACTGCATTTTTTGACAATACCACGTTGAAAACACCGGTTCTCGACTTCTCGTTCAATCACCGAAATCAGGTAATATAGGGCGCGGTCAATACTTCGACTTGGTGACCGCTTGGGAACACCGCGTGCCGTTGTCTCTTTTTACCGTAACACAACGAAGTTGAGGAAACGCTTATGTGCTCGATTTTCCGTCGTGTGTCTGTCTGTCTATCTGTTTCATCGAGATCTCGTGTTACGCGGTAACACCAACGGCCGTTCTCTCCCATACTACCGCCCTTCTATCCTACCTCTTATCGAAATAGGGGGCGGGTGGACTAGTTTTATCCTTCATGCCTCATGGTACTCTAATTAAAGGTCTCAGCATTGAATAATGGTCTCAGGTTATAGTTTCTTAATCCTTATATCTCAAGGGCCGATTGTCGGAGGAGGTACTCATAAAGGGCGAGTGGGACGTCTGGAAGAATCCATATATCCATTGGTGATATCAAGTTTTTGGAAATTTTTTACTTTTTATAAAAGCAAATTGTACATTCATGTCAAAAATGGTTACCTACTACGATTAGGCACTTCGCTCAATAAAAGGCTAAGCGATACATGATAAGTAAATACAGTAAAAGGAAAGTGCTGGGTTTTGAAAGATGCTAACGAAGGAACTCATTTTTTAGTTTGATTTCTGATTTCTTTCTGGATTAATTTTTTACCCCTAACTTTTTGTTAAACTTTTTTAGTTCGTCTCCTCATAATTTTTATTATATTGATGAAATCAAAACTACTCGTTAATTTCCCTATTAGAAGCTCCTATTTTAAATTACTAAATTCGAACCCATTTACATGAAATTAAAACGAACAACGGAATTGCTAAGGAAATTACTTGAAAATAATTTACATCCGTGTCCTGTGAATATGTTCTTAAATAAATATATAGCACATTATCTTTAATATGTATTTTCATAAGCCAAGCTACACAAATTGGCGCCGTTTAATAATCAGGTAAAATTCTAATTACTATTTTACATCAGTGGAAAATTTCTTTTTCTTATGACAAAGAGTAACTAATAATTGTATTCTTTGCTTATGGTTTAGATTATTAAACTGATCCAAACAAAACAATGTAATTTTTACAAATAGACATTTCGCAATACTCTTTTCAAAACAATGTTTCTGAAGCGGTTGGTTTCCAGCGCATACAAAATTCAAACGGTTCTTCTGTGAAATGGATACTTCTTAGATTAGGTACTCTAGCTCGAATGGAATGCGGGTGTAATTTGGATAGCCCTCGGATGTCTCAAAATTCCCGCGAAGATGGAAAACGCAGAATTTTTTTTCTGATACTGAATAGGTGCTGGTTTTTTATTGTCTACTCCACTACATAGCCAGGAAAATTTCGTCATCTTGTATGCTTCCCTAATAATCCGAACCAATAGTGTTCAAAGGGAAAGGTTTCGTCATTGTTTAGAGTATTTAAACAATGGTTTCGTTTTGATCATAGACTGCTGCTCGAATTTATCCTGCATTAACAAAAGAAAAACCTCCAATCGCGCTTATGATTGGTTTTTTATTAATCTCTCACCTTGAACTCTTCCAACGTAATTATTACACGAAATATGTAATGGGTTTATTCTTTAGCCGGACTTAATTCACGTTCCTGTAGTACGCATACACAACGAAAAAATGGTTTTCGCCTTTAGGCGAATCTTTAATTTTCCATGAATTTATCAGTACTTCCCAAAAGGTCATGTAACTGACTATGTGCACAAAGGTATCGCACCCCTAATCTCGAAATTATATTTCTACAATATGCCGATTCCGTATTTTACACATTACCGAATGACCTCACGCTATTCAATGGTTTGGAGTAAATAAGGCCAATTACGATACCTGCTTTGCTCTAGTTAGTGCGCCATCTCCTCTCCAGACATCCCAAACCCATTATGAAAACAGTGCGCTACATAAATTAAAAAGCGCAATCTTCAGTTCTATCATTTGGCATTGGCTTATAGACTTATTCCACTAGTCAAATAATTTACTGAAAAATCGGCCCTCTAAATTTCGACACCCTGTAATTTTTGGTATGTAATAGTGTAACCCTTGAAATCCCAAAAATGTCAACTTAACCTACCTGTATTTCTACAAAATTCTAAAAAATAAATCCAAATTAAAGCTACCGTTACAGTACTACCATTGTAATTTAAAAAAAAAAACATAGTGCGTAGTGCGAATTAATAGCCCCATGGTTATGGATTAACAATTGCCAATAAATCTGAGGAAGAATTGTCAAAAAGGAGCTTAAAAAGCGTTCATCACGTTTGTGAAACCATTTTTGCTTTTTGTGTGCCATACATCATTGTATTCATAATATTATTAATTTTTTTGTATCTGTTGAAATAACATCAGAAAACAATATAAAAATCGGTATTTCTGGCATATCTTCAAAAGTAAACGGAATTTTCTGGTTACAAAATCCCCATGACCCAGATCCTTACCTTGGACAGTGTATAATAGAAAAAAGTATAAAAAAAGATTTTAAAAGTTCCCAACCCTGTCTGTGATATCTCGAGGAACGCGCATACATTATATATTTATATACCATCAGAACGATCATTCTCCTAATAATAGTAATAATAAATAATCCCATTTCTTTTACACATTACGAAAATTGACCCCCACCATATATGGGACGATAATGGAATAACCTACCTTTGAATGTACTGCGCCGGCACAAGCTCAATTAGCAATCAGGGATAATAAAACCGGTTCCGACGTTTCTGAATAAACAAACACATTTAAATAAATGATTATGCACTTTATTTAGGCAATTTTGTAACAAAGTAGATCTGCAAGCCTTGATAGTAACCAGTGGCAGAATAATAAAGGTTGCACCTGCAAATTTAGTTACCTCGTGAACTAATCAGCATTAAATCTGCAACAAAGAAAACGATCGCAATTGCCTGCACACTACATCAATAGTGACTTTAAAATTTTGCACAATTATATCACTAAGTACACTAAGTCTTATAAAAATACCAATTTACAGAAATGAGTGACTTATCGAAGTGTAACATAAATAAGAGTTTCGATTCCTCCATAAATACAGACACTGAGGCAAGAGAAAAGGTAACTAAGTTTTAACATAGGAGACACTTACGTCTTGTATTCATATTGTTTTTATTGTTGTTTTCAACAAAGAAATATATTTGACGTCATTTACTTTAAAACTTACAGTACATACATGAAAGGCATATTTACAGTATTTTAATTGCAAAGTATGCAGTTTACTTGCAAAGTTAAATTGCAAACAAAGCTGCACAGACATCACAACATATTTAATAAAGAATCTATCATATAACACCCGCCGCAATCAAAGTGCAGCCTTACGTGAAGTAGAAATGCACAAGTAATCAGTGCGAGTCTATCAACGGAACTGCCTCCCTTCAAGAGATTTGTAATCTACAATCGTAAGCAAACATTCAATACGTAAAAATATAAGAAATTTTCTTAAATGTGCAACTTTCTCTCATAACCGCATTCAACTATTTAAATTTCTTTTTGATAGTCCAGTTTATTTTTAAATTCTCATATTGTCCTCCCGTTGTTTTTTTTCCTATATAAACACTTAAGTACAATTGCATTATCGTGTTAATGAGGCAAATTATAATCGGCCGATTAGTCTAGGAAAATTAAACCTTAAAATGTTACTGTTGTCAGTTTGTGATCTAGAAAAAGTTCGTAATTACTAGACAGCCAAGTAGATGGAGACATCTTACTATTTCTGACCGAAGGGTGAATTAGTCTTGAATGTATTGTGATGGAATATTGAAGTTCAAGTACCCTGGTCTCTCAGAAGTTCCCACCTACATGAAAATGTACCAAGCGAATGTTTTTTTTTGCACAAGTGAAATTCTCCCGGACTAACATTTGCACTCATACATGTGAAAAGTCCAACTATAAACAATTTTTACGCGATTACACTCACGAACATATTTATAAAATTAGACGAGAATGTATGTACAATAAAGTTTAATTTAAAATTGGTCTGCAAACCACTGTGTAGCATGCTCGGTGCAATGGTAACAGCATAGCCGAAAAAAGCTGGTGTTTTGACATTATTCTTAGATCTAAACAATAAAGCACATTTTCTTTTTCCAAAAAGAAAATTTTGTATCTCTGTCATATTAATATAATTAAGCAGTCTTAACAGCTGTAGACTATTTACAATGTATGTTTAACATCAACGTTTAAAAAACATGATCTGCGGAAATACTAGAAAAATTTCGTATCACAATACAAAATACTCGTGACAAATCAGTGTAAGCTTCTTGAAGCACATTTTATTAATTCTATTGCCTATAAATGTATCATTACTCCATTTTACAACACAACAAATTTTCGTCCAGTTATAATTTGATATACTACAAGTGAATACAATTACTTATCCGTAATCGGACTTAACTAATTTCTAAACAGAAGACAAAATGTTGAAACACCAAAGTTTAATGGATAACTACAAGATGTTACTATAGATTGTTTCAAGAAGTCCAAAAATAAAATTTTGATAAAACTGTGCTCTACATGGAAATGTTAGACTTGAGGTCGCATACAAGGAATATTCATTAGCTTCAGTATGATCGTTTAATTATTACAAATTGTCTAACTAGATGATTCCCAACGAGCAAGATATAAACGTCTAGCATCAAGCGTCGGAGAGAGCAACGATCGTACTTCAGCGGAAGGAAGGCTGAAATACTTAAGGGTTAGAGGAGACTGTAAATGTCTATGTCTGATTATTTCGCGCTCCGCAGGCAACGGCCATAAATCCTATACATACATACAATCAACAAAAGTAAGGTTAAATAATGCTTACTGTACCTGCAGAGACTGGGCCTCATCTCAGGATTCTGTACTTCTGCCTTTTCGCCCTGTAAGTGATCCGACTATCGATTTTAATGTTGCACCGAAGCTTTTACCTGGCGTTTGAATATTTGATTGACTTCTATCTAAACTTTGAGGGTGGGCGTCCAAACACTTCTGGTACCGTAACTATAATTATGAAAACACATTTAAGATTCAATCCTGTTTAATTATTAGTAGTGATATTGACCGATTCTAACTCATTCCAAGGTTACTTGTTAGTTAATATCCACGCCCTTTAAAAACAAGAAGTATTAAAATATCCACGTTGGAAGGGGACGGCTAATAGATACAAGGCAAAAACATATTTTTTTTCTGAAAATCAATTAAACTTTCGTACTCAACTTAACCATCCATGATAGTCTCAACGAGAAAGACGTGCGGTGCGGAGGGCGAAATCGAAGTTACAGGATCAAACCCGTGCATTTAAAGGAAGTGCTGAGAGGAGTAATTGCTTTTTTTGAGTAGAGCCAATGTAGGACAAAAAATTACTTTTATCCAGGGCAAAAAGGAATCAATCTTCTACATTTAGGAAGGTTCCATTAACCTGGATGTATATACTAGTATGCGCAATGGCAAACTGTCACTAAATCACCCACAGCGCGTAGCTCAATTGAACACAGGTACTAACAAAACCCTTTATATGAAATATCATCCGGAATAACTAAAAATCTCGATAAGACTTCAATTTTATTAATTTGAGAAAACTCAGTAGCCTTGATCAACTCCATAATTTCAAAGAACTAACCTGAATATTATTTAAACACCTGGCATAACCCTGCGTAGAAAAATTTTACGTGACAACTTACCGAGCTCGTAAACATTTACAGATGAAACAAATTTAGTAGACAAAAGCAATCCAATAAGGCCCAGGGCCAGAATATGCACATCACGCAACAAGCGATCGATTGAAACAATTAATTAGAGAAACTTTACTGCTTTGATTGTACTTAAATTTTGAATTAGACGACACTGGGTTCGTTGTAATTACAGATGTAAAATTGGCTCTTTGGTAGTAGAAAAAACTTCCTTTAGCCGATACTTGAAGACCTTAAAGAAAGGCTTCGCATAAGCGATAATTGCTCGGCTAACTTCTTTGTAAGCTTCGTTTGTTTAATTCGACTTACACATTCACTTTAGAGCGTGCCGTTGGGGGGCACGGCTTGAGCAGGGGATCAAAATTTATGTAGGGAGTAAGCGTTCAGGTGTACCATCGATCCCACACCATGAAACACTCGCCGAGCCTCTACGTCGAGAGGGGGAGGGGGAGGATGGGTGAAATTCAGCCCTAGGGAAGCTTATGCGACGGAAAATAAATACAGAACCCGAGGACAGATTTAAAGAATTAGCTAGACTGATGCCAAAGTGTAGGTGAAAATATGTAGAAAAAAAGAAATACGAATCTGTTAATTAAGGTTAGAGATCAGCGGTCGTATATTTGAAGGTTTGGTGCATTTAGCAGCATGGGAGAAAAACGGAGCGACTAAAACTGGTTTTCGGCCAATTCAGGACGTAGTTCTTGTGAGGTACATATTTAACGTAAATGTAAAATTCTCAAAGTTGCGACCTAAAATAGTCGCAGCTTTGGGAATTTTAAGAGCTCAAAGTCTCATTAATACCCTGTGAATTCGTTTTTGGGGCTTTAATATGGGGAACGCTCTCTTCTAACTTGGGCCGTGGCAGTTCGCCAACGGTAATAACCGTAAAAATTAAAAAAAAATTCAATTGCTCAAAAGTACAGACATCACCACTGCTCCTCCGTCTCCTCTCGCACAGATGTTGGAACTGGGTCTTTGTCGCCCATCACAATCCCGTTGGGGCAGCCCGCTTCTCCTTGTGCCCAAAAAGGATGCTTCCTGGAGACTGTGCTGTGACTGTTCATTCATCCCGGATGGGTATCCACTCCCAAACATGCAAGATGTTTCCCATATCATAGACAAATGCAACATATTTTCGAAATAATACCTCGTGCGCGCTTTCCATCAGATCCGGCAGATATTAAAAAAACCGCCATCACCAACCCCTTTGGATTCCTCCAGTTTCCTGTGATGAAGTTCGGGCTACGGAACCCCGCAGAAAAGTTTCAACATTTAATTAACCAAGTGCTCCAAGATCTACCATTTACATTTGCTTACCTCGACGACGCACTAATAGTATCCATCGCCTGATGAAGGCACAAACAAGGCTCATGTAGAAGAAGTGCTCCAACGATTTCAATAACACTAACAGTTTCCAACTTTTGTTTTTTTGCGTGCCATATATCGTTGTATTCGTAATAAAAAATGCTACTCAATACAGTGTATACTTTTTTACGGGCCACATAAAAAAATAAAGTTGATGATGATTTCTTCGTAACGAAACGTACAGAAAATCTCTCAACGACATCTTGTAGAGCTCAATGAGGCAATGGGAAAGTGTTTTTTTTATTTTTTTTTGTATCTGTTTAAATAACATCAGAAAAAATAAAGTGAAATCGGCAAATTTCGGTTTTTCAGGAATATCCTCGAAAGTAATTTTCTAGTTTTCTTAAAAGCATGATAATTATTTAGTTGCTTATTTTTCGCTAATTTAGTCATCGTTGTATCTTCTATGGTTTCAGAGATTCCCATCATATAGACTTTCGAATTTTGGACACATTGTATATTGTACATAAATTCTTCAAATACCCGCCAGCAGTTTATATAGCGCCGGCCACTAAAATCTTATTGAAATAAAATATGAGTTGAAAGACGGGAATTTTTTGTATAAAATAACATTTCTCAAAAATGAATTTTCGACCGAATTATTCGCAAAAAATGCACATTGTGTGGAAAAATCGCACCTAAGGCAAGTTTTGAACAAACGAAATAATCGCGGTTAAATGAAATATTTCGGGGACTTTTATTCCCGACATATTGACAAAACAGAAAGATATATGTCCTTGAAGTGAATTAGAACGGACGTTTACTATAATTCAGGTTCCTTACCTTACAAGCAGCTTCAACTGTTTTACATAGAGCACCTGAGGATGGTTCGCAGTGAAACACATGAGCCATAAAAATGTCTTGCGCGGTGTGCATAATAAATGCGCACTGTTTAACATTTTTACCAATTCCTAAGAATGACAGATATCGAACCCGGCATTCGGTTATTAATTTATCATCCTGCAACAGCAATTCGTGAATATCACATTTTTAAGACATTTCAACACAATACGTTTGGTTGCTGAATAGAAATCATGGAAGGTGCAACGGCAACATTAACCGACTGCCATTCTTCTTGTGGAACTAACGATACCATCCTATCGATTGCTTCATTGAGTATTTCCATTCCCGTCGCTTGCGTCACCTGAGTATTGCCTAAGTACTGAGCCCGCAGTACTTTTTTAGGTTCTTCCATTGGAGTAGGAAACGATTGAGCTAAAATTGGAAATGTATAAAAATTGCGAATGTCACGTTCTCACTAACTTATTAAAGTTTGTCCGTTCCTATTTGATCGCCTATGTTCAGTGGGAAGGTTCGTAGGCCTCGTTGCTAAACCTCTTCCATTAATATCTATCGGTTTCGCTAGGTTTTGTTGTAAACTACGTTCGATCATAATTTTTTTACAGATATCTCTAAGAGTATTAGCGATCGTACGGCGGGCATATCGCATCTGAACACATGGCACATATGTTTTCGTGTACTACGGTCTCTCGCCACATACGCAAAATCCCTAAATGAAAATGTGAACATTAACTAAATGATCAAACTGGAACGCACACAAATAGGCAATGGCGGCATGCACTTGGCTGCAAACACAGGGTATTGTATAGGTCATGGCAAAAGTGCTCATTTTTTATTTAAAATTTATTGTCTTGAAAAAAAATTCTCGCATCCCTTTGTGACACTAAATTTAGACTATTGCTAGGACACATGACATCTTAAAATTGAGCAGGAATGAGCACTCTTCGACTATTCATGCGTGACAACTGCTCAGCGATATGCCAGAGTAAATCAGCGCTTGCAAGTAGAAAACATATTTTACCTCTCCCTGGAAGATGCGGACACCACCACAAAAAAGAAGATAAATTAGAACTAACCAATGGATTCAATTCTTATAATCTTGTATTAGAGGATATGTGATTTTTGTAGTAAGAGACGATAATTACCTGCCATTATCCCTTCCAACTCCCCACACCCTAATGGTATGAATCGGTTGCGTGTTTAGGACTGTCAAATTTTCTGGATCTATTAATTTTAAAGCTCCTTCGTCGAGATCCATAAAAAGATCCTTGCCCTAAAGAAAAGCAGTGAGCAAATAGAAAAAGTACAAAGTGCTTACATCGCCCCATCTCCCGACAACGTCCAAGAGATCATTTCTTCCCAGTGAAAGATCGACGATACACTTATTGACCGCCTTGCTGCTTCTTTCAGGAGTTAGATCTTCCTCCGCAATTTCGACCCAGCCCAAAGATCTAACAGCAAATCTAATTGGTCGTTCTTTTGATTCGGGCTCCGGCCGTGCGGGGTAACTCCTACGTCTGTAAAATAATATTATCCGACGCTCATTTCTAAAACTATTAACTCACTTAAATGCCAATTCCTCTTTTCTTTTCCTATCGTCCGATTCTAAATCTAACGCTGAACTCGTACTACTTCGTGTAACAGATGTAATCATGCTAGTTTCAAATTTAGATATTATATTGTCCGTTTCTTTACTAAAACTATTTTTTGTGTCCAGTTTTTCCGTTCCCGGTATTAATGGCACCTCACGTTGGATTGTTCCACTTTTTATGTGCCAGTAATATGGACCGTCATTGTCTGAAAAGTGTTCGATTTGAAGCAAGATTTTTGGTTTCTTTTAATAATATTCCAAAATATTTCTTTAAAGAAACAGCGTGAATTAGATCAAAACTCTGTACTTAAAAAAACATCCCAAAAGCAGCTTTTCTTAATTTAAAATTTGATCAATTTGAGAAACCTAAACCGAATTTTTGAATACCTTTAAAGATTTATATAAAAGAAAGGAAATGGTTATACCTTCGTGTTTTTCCCATCCTGGAGGTAAATCGGTTTCGTCGCTCCTTTCTTTGTCCGGGAAGATCGATTCGATTTCTTCTGGCGACTTTTGCGCTTTACGTTTAACGGGGATGGCGTATAGGTCATTATTAAGCTGTCCTACGATATGTGGGATACCGATGTCTTCATCTCGATTGTCTTTGTTGTTCTTCGCCGTTTTCTCGCAAATGCTGTTGGAAGTAAAAAGGCAAAAGTAAAAACTATTCCCAAAGCCGATTAGGGGAAATAAAAGTGACGTTTACCCAACCAAGCTGTTAATGTACATGATTTGGTGATTTGGAATGAATGTGACTTTTTACGTACTTGTTTCGCGGTCGTGACGGAATTGGACTGGTGTCCATGGGACCCATGGTATCATTGCCGTTGCTCTCACCGTCCCTACAACAAACATTGTTGTGAACAAAACGGCACTGTCATACAAATTTGCACCAGTTAAATTTATACGCCTCTAATTACTTCCGCCACTGCATAAACACTAACCAAAATTTGCGCAATGTATTTTTTGTGACTTCGTCCACTCTCACACAGCACACGAGCAACACCACTTTCATCTCGGGAATAAATAAATAAGAATATCGTTATCACCTAAACGCCAGTTTTGTACGAATGAAAAGAAATGCGCTTAATTTACCGTAATTAATTAGCTAATCGCGCTTTTGTTTCAGAATGTGAGAGAAACGAATTGTATTAACAATATTGTAAACCTCATTGATGTATGAAAGTAATTTCCACCTGCAAAATTCGTTAACCGGCGCAAATTAATTAAATTACGATGTTATTTACATAGGGAGATAGGAGGCGGACTTACTAATAACTTCCAATTTCACAGTTTGCTTATAAAACACCAAAGAAAATACGATTTCGATTCACTTTTGGCCACATGCGGCTCGCCAAAGAAACTTCCGATTTAGTTCAAAATTGGGTTTTGAAATAGGAAACCTCGTCGTTTCTGTTTAGAATCAATATACGCGTACTATTTTATGCTAAATTTCCATAAGGAAAGTAGGTCCTAGCCATTACCTATTATTGAATTTGTTGTTGACATACAGTGCGACTTCCTACATGTAGTCGAAATATGATAATTATTCAAACACTTGAAACTTACATGTAAACATGCATTACAAGCTTATGATCTATGAATAAACAAAACGAAAATAGATAATGTGGGGAAATGTTAATGTTAACCTCGATCAGTTTTTACATCTATGTATCTCAATTATGTTAGAAATGATCACATGTACAGCCATATTTTCTAATGCCATTCGTGTAGTCAACTCAGCCAGCAACTAAATTCAATCGCTATCGATTTGAATGTGACCTAATTTGTAAATTTAACCTCCGGTTTTCGAAAATTACTATAAAGAGCATGCCGAATGTTTCATAAGTGACTGAAATGCAATAAAATAAATCAAGAAAATACACACTAATGTCGAAAATAAACAGATTCGTTATATACAGACATGAGATTCAAAAGGGCAAAGAGCGGAACACCCTGCACAATTTTGATCAGTTTTTCAATTTTATTTTCAACAAAACCAAACCACTTTTTTTATGTTTACAAAATTATTTAAATCACTGGAAAATACGCACACACAATACTCGGTCTTAGTGATTTATTTGCAACAGAAAATCCGTTTCAGCAGCCACTATCTCGTGTTCCCTATAAGAAAGGACCCGATCTTGGTTTCTTCACCGATAGGAGTGGTTCACGAAAGATACATCCAAAAACTACAATGCCAAAATCAGTCCCAAATTCGATTAATCCAAACTTAGGTACCTCATTAATAAATGGGTTTCGGATTGCGACATAGGTACAAGAAAGATGGGTAATTATCCGAACATATTATCTTGATCAATCACAATTCGTCCCTGACGCGTGGACAGTGTTGTCAGGCAAGCCGTGTTATGGGGTTACTGAAGTCATTCGTTTCTAGTGCACACACCGTGCATGTCTTTTAGCAAAGGGAAAATGCAAAAAGAGACCGAATGTCTCCAATTTGAGATCGTTTTAATATTAATTTATAACCAGACCACCTAAATTTGATTTTGCGGATGTTGAATTGTTCCGGGATGTCTGTTCAGTTCGGCACCGACGGTCTCTATATATTTCAGTTTAATCGAGTAATTGTTTGAATACCACAGTAGTACAAACGTAACGGATATATTAGGTTAACAAGTTAAAAAGTAATCGTAAATGATTTACATAAAGCGCATTTCCACTTGCATTCATTTCCCATTTGTAAGATGCAACTTCTGTTAAAATCGTAAAAATACGGCCACAAATATGAAAGATAGCGTTGCACATGGGCAATCCATTTTTTCCGTGCTTCTTCAAGTTCAGTTTATGAGAAGAATTTCATTTCAATGCTTTTCTAAATAAGAAAGTTGGAACTGCGCATGCGCAAACCTAAATTTTAAAACTAATGTTAGATTTTCCTTTGTTCCAAGCGCCTAAGTATCAAATTTCACTTAAATGGTGCCATAGATAAAAAAGTTGACACTGCGCATGCGCAAAAGAAAGTTTTGAGACTGGCGCTCGATGATCCTTTATTCCAAGTGCCTATGTATCAAATTTCGTTTAAATTCTTCCATAAATAAAAAAGTTGGCACTGCGCATGCGCAAAGCCAAATTTTTAAACTGGCGTTTGATTTTCCTTTATCCCAAGTGCCTATGTATCAAATTTCGTTTAAATTCTTCCATAAATAAAAGTTGGCACTGCGCATGCGCAAAACCAAATTTTGAAATTGGCGTTTGATTTTCCTTTATCCCAAGTGCCTATGTATCAAATTTCGTTTAAATTCTTCCATAAATAAAAAGTTGGCACTGCGCATGCGCAAAACCAAATTTTGAAATTGGCGTTTGATTTTCCTTTATTCCAAGTGCCTATGTATCAAATTTCATTCAAATACTTTTATAAGTAAAAAAGTTTGCAATTCGGTTTATAAATGGTCGAGATGCGAAAAGGGCACTGTGAATTTTGAATCGATTCGATTCAACTTTTGGCATTGCGTATTATATGGCTAAAGCCCATATTGAATTTCATGCAATTCAGTTCATAACTAACGGAGATGTAAAAGCGATCGAACATTTCTAAACAAAGTTATCGTTCACACGGACAGATAGATGGACAGACAGACAAAGGAACAGACGGACAGACCAACCGGCAGGCGACAGATAGCAATGCAAAATTATAAACGATCTCTAGGATCGTTAATAAACGGCAAAAGTGTAAAATTATGGAACATGTAAAAAACGGTTTTTTGTTTTTTTTACAATAACTTTTTTTGTAAGCGGTACAGAAAAAATTCCTTCCTTGGTACAAGACTCGACACCCTAACGAACCAAATAGCGAAAAAAGTAGAACAATAGCTCTTAAGATAAAGAACTAGTAGCGTCGCAAAACGAGCGGACGGACGGACGGACAAAGGGGCCACAATAGCGCATTTTTTTTTATTTTTGTGGAAATGCGCTAAAAATGTGGTTTATCACTTTTTAAGCTTTTACAACGACAAACTTCAAGAGCCGCAATTCGGAATACAACCCGGCTTTTATTTTATTGATTTACGCTGACGTGTTGATAAATAATTTACCGTTACTTAGAAGGATCCCTTTGGAAAGTGGTATAAGGCACGTGTATCCATTAATATTAGATGTCTTAGCTTTACTGTCTTTCTGTATTAAATAAAGCGGACGTAATGCGCTTGAAGATGTATGAACCCCCTAACTTACCAATTGAACCATACTTTCTGTGCAAGTACAAAGTGCCACGATGTTAGCATTTTATTTATTTATATCACCTCGACAGTTCGATAATATTTTCAAAGGGAGAAATGACACAAATCAAACACGGGTCAATTCGGTGTGCTTCTCTGGGACGTAACTGAGACCTCTATCTCAAAGCTTCCTGTTTTAATATAGATTGGGTACGTACGAAATTGAATTTCAAAACGAAATTGATGCACTTCGAATTTGCAACCCTTGGTGTACATCACACATTTTCGTTTCTGAAATTTATGCCACGGTTGTGTCTCGTGCATTTCAATTGAATAACTTGCACGGTAACTTCATTCTTTACGGGATCTAATTTAATAGAATAATTTGAGGATTTGATGCGATGTAAATTAACGCCAATGTTACTATGGTGCGTTACGCTTACGGTAAAATGGGAAGTTGTAATTTTCAAAATTTTTGAAGGCTGCGTTTAATAACCGTTGTAATTATAATTATACCGTTGTGCAGAGTAAAAAAATCGATCCTGTATTGTTCTATAATGGTAACTGAGCGTAAATCACGTTATGCGTTACGCTTCTCGCTTATAACGAAAATGAAAAGAACGTCATCTTACCCAATTTTATTATAATGAAATTTGTAATAGAATCGATTAAGAAATTCCCGGCAACTTGCACAAACTGTCGGTATTTGTCGGAATTGGGAAATCAATCGCTGGTATCTTAATAATAATAAATGCTTTCCCGGTGATTATTGGAATTCATTTAAAATCCTATTCGAACAAGGACAGATTCCTCGTGCAGTTTTTCTATGGCATGACTGACTGAAACAAAGGAATATTGGGTAATATATTTAAAAGGCAAATTTCTTATAATGTATGTGTTATATTATAACTGTGCTTTAGAGAATAATTAGGTAACAATTATCTTTACTTTTGAGTTTTGATGCCATTTATGCACAGCCAAATTGTTATGTTCACAATTTATGCATTCGACCAGGTTTTGCCCACGACGATATTGGTAAATCGTAACCAAAACAAGTACAAATGTGCAGAAAAGGAGTATCTTTCCTCCAAAAAAGTGTAGGCGAAATAATTATGAATACCAGCATCACACTCAAAAAAATGTTGTTCGTAATATTCATTAACACTGGTTACTGACTAGAAAGTTATAGTAACAATTACAGGATTAATTGTGACAACGAACTATTGAAAATTATTTAATGAATATATTTATTAATTCAGCAATTCAAGATTAATTATGACAATAACTGATATACGTAGATTAGTGAAAGAAAATTCGTTGTGGGAATTATTGACTTCATATATTTAACGAAAACGTTTAATTGTCACAATGAAACTGATTTTTAAATCTACAACTTGCAAATAATTAACTGGATTATTGTTACAACAAATGCGTGGATTTTAAGGCTTGATATGATTGTTGTAACAACGAACTAAAATAATGAATGTTATGAAAATTCAAGTTTGTCTATTAATGAACGGTGTGCGTTATATCAAAAAACGCGTTAATGAAATAATGAACGAAGTTATTGATATAATGTTCATCCGTCCATAGACACAACAACCGGGGTTGTTAAATAATTTCTTAGAATTTAGTCACCGTTCGTACTTTCTTTGTGCACATTAATAGTTTTATAGATACAATAAATAACTCTCGTTATTAATTCTACGAATTTTTCCCGTGGGCGGAAATTTGAATAGGTAAGCTTTTTGTATATCACTTGATATTCGCTTGTTGCGTCAACCATCACAACAGCAGTGCCATAGTTCTCACAGTGATCTAAATAAAATTTGCAGTTTTTGTGTGAATATATTGGGTAAGTACCTTATACCATTTATAATAATTGTATTATGCAGGAACCTTTTTACAGTTTATACATTTTCCTATTGAGTGATACATAAATAGTTGCTTACCTGCAGTATTTCTAAAATGTTATGCTTTTTGTGCAAAAAAAAATTTGATTCTGCAAAAATCCTCATTAACCATTTAAAACGTGTCCATGATTTAGGCCCTAGTAGTATTTTTAGATGTTATGAGTTTGGGTGTAATCAAGCATTTCAAAATTTAAGAAGTTTCAAAAAGCATATAAATCGTAAACATGTCAGCAACCCTGATGCTTTAGACAATTTAGAAACTTTTGAAAATCACGACCCAAATTTTGATGATTGTTCTAATAACTCTGTATTTCCAACCACTTACAATGCTAATGTGGAAAGTTCAAAACAAGATCTATCAATAGTACATACATTATCATCAACAAATGTTTTTAAACAACCTGATGAAAACACCTCTTATCAAAGCAACTGCTCTGAAGCTCCAAATATTTCTTTCCAAAGTTCTGATGAGAACAATGTTCTAACATTACAAAAAAGATTTGACGATTTTATTACAGAATTTGTACTTACTCTCCACAACACTAGTAATTTTTCACGAAAAGATGTTCATGATATTCAAGATTATATAAAAAAACTTTTAATCGATCCACTATTGGACGTTTTCAATGCATTCGCTAAAAATAATTTTATTGAAAATAATGTCTTATACAATGCGTTTCACGGCCTTGTAAGTCGTTTTAGAAATCCATTTCAAAGCTACAACACAGATTATTTATTATTTAAAACTTTAAATAACAAAAACTACACCGAGGAAGTTAAGGAGTTTATTATTAATAATGAAGTATCTGTGATGCACAAAAGTGGTAAATTAGTTACCGATGAAAAAAAAATAACCGGAGTTTTAATGCCCTTAAAATTTCAATTTAAACAGTTTTTTGATAAAGACGGATTATTAGAAAATAGTTTGAAACATATGAACAATTTGCAAACTCAACCGAAATTAAGTAATTTCATACAAGGTGAACTGTGGAAGAAAAAAGTAGAAATGTATCCAAACAAAACTTTATTGCCTTACTTGCTTTACATAGATGATTTTGAAATTAACAACCCTCTTGGTTCACACTCATCTAAGCATTCCATATGTAATGTTTACTATTCGTTCCCCTGTCTTCCCGTTGAGGAATCAAAGTTAGAGAACGTTTTTCACTGCGCCGTCATAAAATCAACAGATGTAAAAACATTTGGTAATGAAAAATGTTTTCAAACTTTAATTCAAGAACTCATAGATTTAGAACTTAATGGACTAGACATTACAATTAAAAGCGGTTCGACTTTGCGTGTACATTTTATCTTGGGATTAGTAGTAGGGGATAATTTAGGCCTTAACTGTTTTCTCAATTTTAATAAATCATTTTCTGCAAATTTTTTTTGTAGACTTTGTAGAATGAATAAAAAAGATTCTCAAAAATCTATAACTGAAGACAAGGAAATGATTAGAACAATTGATAATTATCATTCCGATTTGGCCCATGAATCAGAAAAACGGGGAATACTAGGAAACTCACTTCTCAACGAGATTCCATCTTTCCATGTTGTTCATAATTTTTATGCAGATATTATGCATGACTTATTTGAAGGAGTGTGTCATTACAGCCTTTGTCATGCTATAAATTACTTTATTAAAATGAAATATTTTAAATTGGAGTTTTTGAATGCAAGAAAGGGAAATTTTGAATACGGGCCTAAGGAGATTGGCAATATTTCAGGAAAAATTGAAACACATCATCTAAGTAACAAAAAGTTTAAAATGTCTGCTAGGCAGATGATCACATTTATCACTTACTTTCCACTAATGGTTGGAGATGTGATTCCAGCTGATGATAATGTTTGGAAGTTTCTTTTAAATTTAATTGAAATTATTGATCTATTATTATGTTTTGAAACTAAAGAGGATGACATAATTTTATTAGAAAATAAAATTAAAAAACACAACGCCGATTACATTGTTCTATTCGACGATACATTAAAACCGAAATTTCACAATTTGACTCATTACCCAAACATTATTCGTCAGTCCGGACCCCTGCGAAAATTATGGTGCTTCAAATATGAATCCCACCATATGGCATCTAAAGTTTACTCCCATTGTATAAATTCACGAAAAAATATATGTATTACATTATCAAAAAAATACCAACTTAAGTTTGCATACCAAATATTTCAAAAACCTAATTTTATGAAATTCTTATACCTAAACACTAAGAACGAAAAAGAAAGTAAATTTAAAACTATTATTTGTGACATGTTACAAGGGAATGAAACCTCTTGTTTTAAGTTTTATACAAAAATAAATTTCAAAGGTACTCAGTACAAAATCGGTGACTATATAACGATATTAAATAATGATATTATGTTCTATAACATTGTGGAAATTATTGTTTTGAATAGTGAAACACTACTGTTTTTTTCACAACAGTTAGTTCGAACTAACTATAAACCACATTTTCTAGCTTATGAAGTAGATCCAAATGCTTTAAGTCAATTTGTTTTAATTTCTCCAGAGGAATTAATCGGACCCCCCTTAGATTTGATTAAAACGGCCAAAGGGATACATATAATTAGAGTTAAAGAATATTATAGTACATTAGAGTTTTAAAGTTTTTATTGTATTAATGTATTATATAGAAAACTGTTTGTGTGTGGTCTTTGTCTGCATTTAATATTCTTTTCCGATATAATGTATGTACATAGATAACTGTGGCAACTTCCCTAGTCCTATTTTTTTATTGTCAAATTAACTAATTGGTAAAAAAACGAAGTTTTAAAATGCTCAAAATGAAAACAAATCAAACTAAACAGGAGGTGACATTTATTTGTATTGCTTTTGGTAGGATTTTCATTCTTCACATGTCATGTCGCTGTATGACGCCGGCTTCGGCAGCGTGTTTAGGGATATTTATCCATTTGGAGATTCTGATAATATGACGGACACACCTTTAGAAGACATCTCATCAGCCTCTATAGCAGGCCCATCATCTACTGCCACTACTAATGTCATTGTACCATCGGCTAATGAAGATGAAATTGAATTAAGAAGTTTAATTTCAACTTGGCAGGTTGACAACATTGCTGATCATTTAATAAGTAGGTCTATTATTATTACTCGTAATATTATTGTACTATTGAAGGTTCGATCTCTAACCATGGTACTTTCTAATTGTTATAGATCAGAATGTATTCATCCCTATTTTGAAAATTATAAAAAGGCATCAAATCGAACGCCTTTTAAGAATATTTGACATGGGTACACAGATAAAGTTTGAACATTACTTAGAAGAGTGGCGCGAGCTTCTTGGAATACCATTGCATTCTGATAAAGCCAGCACAGGATATTCAACTCCTTCTACTTCTTATTCTAGAGAAGCAACACCAACGAGATGTATCCCCTACAGGCGACCTTCAACGGCTCCAGACGATTACATACCTTTGGCTAACGTGTTAAATGAAACTCCCAAAGGAATAATGCTTACCGAGTATTATAATAAATTTACTAGATTCAGCGAAGAACAACGAACTCTATTGATTGGCCTGATTGCTACTTTTTATGAAGAGAAATCAGTACCTTTAACTTTAGCGTCAAGTCATAGAATAGAGCAAGAAATTTTAGCACGTTTCTCCAATGAAAAATTGGTAAATACATACGGTTCTCTTATATACTAGTGTACTAAAATTACATATTTTTCAGGAATTTTATCGTATCGGTAAACGAGGAAAAATATATAATAAATATTGTAATATGAAGTCATCTTTTAAATCGGCCGTATCTAGTCACATTTTACCACCGAAAAAGAAAAGTTTGAAAAATAAAACTAGGCACGAAAATGAATTTGGTACGTCATCAATCAAAATTTACCTTTTTTGTTATGTAATTCCCAAGTCAAAAAAGTTTTGTGAAAAGAATTATACTTAGTACATTTCAGAGTCTGAAGAAAATGCGGAGAGCTGCATTCGTTGTCTCAAATATGATAATCTAAGCTCAGAAGAGTTTGACAGTGTGTGGAAAGCGTGTTCCCAATTTAGAATAAACCAAATTAAAGAGGAGACATCAACGATAACATCTATTATGGAAGTATGGCCGTATTATAAAATCCCATCGGGATATCGTTTGGTACTACAATACTTACTTTCTAAATGTATTTCATTGACAACATTTGTTTTTCAGATTGATATTGATTTTGGACTAAGTTTCAACAATAGAAATGGACTTATTTTACATTGGGAAAATTACTGGAGTTCCATACTCAATTTTTTAAATTCTGACAACAATGTGAAAGACAAAAAAGCAAAGGCTTTGCTGGAAACCATAAGTTCGACTCCAAACTTACCTGAAAGTTAGTCTACCGCATCCTTTTTTAAATGTTTATTAATGACATGAATAACGTTACAGATGGAAGAAATGCTGCCATATTTTGGGCATTACATGGCTATTTTGTGCCGACAAAAGTAGTGGTGTCCAAAACAGGCACCAAGAGGTCTAGCCTGCGCTACACGATTCGGGACTCCCAAGAGGCTTTCGTGTTCATCGGGAGGTCTTTGCAGGAAGTAGAAGATCATATTCTTCACTTAAAGAGCCAAAATGTTGCCGTGCAACCCTTTATATATTGTGTGGGAGATGACATTATTAATTTATCTGGTGATGTAACAGTATATTTTGACGGGATTCGTTATAATTTTAAAAATTTTGTTCGTGCAGTAGACATTTGTTTTAAAATTATATATCTTTTTGATTTAGAATTTCCGACACAATGCATTTCGTTTTACAGTTTTTTGGAAAGTTTTTTTTATGAATTTAAACCTAAAAATAATACCTCTAAAGTACATATTTTGTCAGATTATTTAAGAAATCATTGTTAGTTTTGTATTTAAATTAAAAAATCATTTTTGTTATGCAACCAAATAATTTAAATGCAAAATCAATATTTGTTTGTTACTCAACTTTTTGTTCATTTGTTCAGCAACTTTTTTTTATTAATAAAATAACATTTTTTGCACGTAAACATGTTTTTTATGAGTTTCGAATAATTGTCTTAACTAATAATATAAAATCCAATTTTATATCAAAAATTTAAATACGCTAATACATTATACAGAGATGCATTATACAATGTATGATGTACATTAATCAAAGAACAGTGTACATTAATCAAAGAACAGTATACATTCTTATGCTTAATGAGGTTTATTATCACAATAAACGGTATTCGTTGGATCAAAAATTGAGATACGCTAAAACAATGTACGGTGTACATTAACCAATTAACAGTGTACATTCTTATGCTTAATGGGGTTCATTATTACAATAAACGGTATTCGTTGGATTCACAAATTCTCATACATTAAATACATTAAATGTAGTTTTTGACACCATGAACGAAGTTAATAACATTAATGACTCAGGTTACTGGTAGAATAAACAGTGATTCTTTAAATGAATTAACGGTATACACTAATTTCATAACTCGAAATAATAGAGTAATGAACAGTGTTTCGTTGGCTCAATAAATCTGTTCACTGGACCGATTTCAATTATAACTATTCGTTGTCTCAATTAACTTTTTCGTTGATATTACACCACTTTTTAGTTGAGTGTTGAACAATTAAAACATTGTTTAAAAGCAAGGGCATAAGTATCTTTTAAGATAAGCTAGACGTCTTTCGACTACTACAATTAATCTAGTTACGTAAACCAACTAAATATCCGGACAAATCTATTATTAAAGGGTATCAAACAATAATCAAATTGGGTTTCTTAATACTTTCATATATTTACCTGACGGTGTTTTAGTAGAGCCGAGAGTTGAGCTTATGGAGTATCAAACAAACCCCGTGAATTAATTTAAATTTAACATACGTTGTAATAACGTTAGGCCATCGCAATGCGTGTTTACATGCGGCCTGTCAGAAGTGTCACGTTTCTACCAGTCTAAGAGTTCCCAAATTACTGATGTTCAACCCTACATTTTTGTGTTCCTGACATCTTTTATAAAGCAAGTTACGAGTTTAATTAAAACACAAAATTGAATAAAAAATTTCTGTAAACACCGAGGTTCAAATCACTTGCATCCAAAACTTCACTTTTTTCACGTATGTCTTTAATCTTAAGCTGAAGGAGAATTGTAATAAAACTTCTCAAGGCAATATTAAAATATTTTAATACAATGTGGACAAAAGTTTCGTACTTTACCGGCGAATATCGTTCGTAAAATAAGCAGTTTAATTTTATCAATGCGATAAAAGGCTTCTTAAACTTTACTGTAACCGTCGTTAAATGCTTCGAAATTAAAGGAGGAAACCCTAACAAATTGCATCTTTTACATATGACCGCATAAGATATTCATAAATGAAAGGTCTAGCACGAGTAGGCGTAATATTTGCAATTCCGTGTGGTGGAGTAGAAGAATGTGGAAACTTTATACGTGAGCGCACGCACTCGGACGGAATTAAAGTACGTTCACAATTTACATGATAATAAAAATTATAATAGAATGAAAAATCGTGCATACGTTTTTAGAAATACGTATTGTATTGATCCCAATTCATGGAGTGCCACTTTCGTATAGTTGAATCAATAATTTAAATGCGATCCATACGCATTATTCCGTACGCATTCACATTCGCCCCTTGCTTCAGAAAACACAGTATGACTACTATTTAACTAGAAAAAAAACTTGTTTCTGTTGGAAAAATACTAGAGTCGAATGGTGGCATCTGTTTTCAAAAAGCAATCTTTAGGACGAATTGATTGGGGAAAAATCGAAATCTCCAGGGGCATTGTCAACAGTCACTCTTTTGTGAACTGTTAAATATGGGAAATTCTAAAATTGGTTTTGATTTTTCAAGAAAATGGCAAGAGGCATAATGTTGATTTGGCGTATTTATATTATAATCTCGGTTATTGTAGGAGGTGTGAAATTTATTATCGTACTCTTGCCAAGCATAACTGCATCACGGACTAACACAAAAATGAACAAAATTTAATAAACGCCAGGATTTTAATTGCATTTACATACCATCCCGATAATTGCATTACTTGATTTACTCAATAAATTTTAAGTAGGTTATGATTTATGTTACGTTTATTGCATAAACATGATGTAAAACTAATTTCATTAAATTTTGGTGTACAGTTTGTGATACAATTTCATGTTCAATAGCAGTTCGTAATTTATCGCGATTTACATACAATATTACGAAGAGTGAACTTTCTTATAAAAAGAAGTGTTTTCCAGTCTGATATAAATGAAGATAAAACTGCTGAGGTGCATAAAATAATTTATCATAACACTGGGTTTGACTTTTCCGGTTATATGCCTACCGCAAACGTGATTTTGGAGAAATAATTAATTACGGTAAAAGTTCGGCGGAAGTTGGTCAAAACGCACCGAATTTATTGTAATATTTCGTTAGCTTTCAGAAAAATGTGTTCAAATCAAACTTTCCATAACCAAGTTGGGTTTTTTTTGGCACTTTTAATACTACGTCTATAGAAATACCTCGAAATTAATGGTTTAACGCACGTGTAATTAATGAAAAAGTGTTAGTTAAATTAATAAATGGTTGGTTTGTAAAGCAATTAGGAGTATGGTGGGCTGGCTCAGACACACGCATTTATGAGTTAGCATGTGAGTTCGATCCCACAATTGTTGTAGTGTTTCAACACCCTTTTCTTTGACCTACAAACTAATAACGCTCACATTACATAATAAAATTTAAATAAATCAAAATACAATTTCTTAGAATCAAAACCATAAAGGCCGATGCTCACATAAACGACGCGTCGCGGTGCGTCATGCAAGGTTAAATTCTCACATAAGCAGATAAGCTGCGCAGCGCGGCGCGACAAAATGTCTTTTTTGGTGAAGGAACAAACGGCTCGATTCAGTTCAGTTATAAACATGGCTTCAAGTAGTAGTTCGTCTGATGATGAAATGCTTGCTTTGGCAATGGCGATAGAAGTGGAACAAGATAATAAAAACAGAAAGAAGAGAGTTCTTCGATTTTACCCTCCATTTTACGACACGCTGCTGCTCTATACACTGACTTGATTATAAAATAATTTAATATAAAATTCACAGATTTCGCAATCCTTGCCACCATCGGAGACATTGGAAATGATAACCGTATAACCTATAAAGTCCTAAATAACCCTTCACACGGAAAAATCTTGCTCCACCCACTCGCAAGCTCGCCCGTGTCGCAAACGTAAACTTACTGAATAATAAACGGCTTCTAATGCTTCTAATACTATCACGGGCGATGTGCGGGAATTTTCAATTCGAATTAACAAAACCCCTGCGCACTGTTAAGTAAGTACGGTACAATTAACACTAGACGCGACACCACTTGTCTTCTTTTCTACTCGGCAAACCTGGTAAATTATACAAAACATAAGCATTTCCAATGCTAAAAGTCTCAGAACTGAAGAAAACACTTCAGCAAACAAAAAACTATGTATGTTGTAAAATATTTTAAAGAAGAATATATTCCTCTGAAAAGCATCATTCAAACAACTCTACTACCAGCTATATTAGCATTGGAAATGCTTGTTTTGTATGGGTATGAAGTTACCA